TCAATTACTGAAGAACAAAGTTGGAAGATTAACACTACCTAACTTCAAGCCTTATTATATAGATTCATTGTAGGCAAACATAACAATGGAACAGAATAAAGAGCCCCAAAATACACCCACATAAATACAGTAAACTGATGCAATAAAGCAGAGTTGCTGTTTTCAACAAATGATGTGGGGACAACTAGAAATCCACATTTAATAAAAAACAAAAAACAAAAAACTGAATCTAGACATAGATCTTATGCTCATCACAAAAATTAACTCAAAATGGATCATAGACTTCAATGTAAAATGCAAAAGTTAAAAACTGTAGAAAATAACAAAGGAAAAAACCTAGATGATCCTGGGAAAGGTAATGATTTTTTAGATATAACACCAATGTCAAGATCCACTTTAAAATGATTCATAAACAAGACTTCATTAAAATTGAAAACTTCTGTTCTGCAAAAGCCAATGTCACAAAAATGAGAAGAAAAGCCACAGACTGGGAGAAAATATCTGCAAAAGACATATCTTGGTAAAGAGACTGTTACACAAAACATTCCAAAAACACTGAAACCTCTACAGTAAGAAAACCACTAAATAAAACAGACCAAAGACCTTAACAGATACCTCACCAATGATGAGAAACATACAGGAAATAAACACATAAAAGAATGCAGTATATTCTGCAACATTAGGGTAATATATTAAAACAATGAAATACCGAGATACCGCTACATATCTAGTAGAATGGCCAAAATTTGGAGCACTGACAACAACTGACAGTGAGAATGTGGAGCAACAGGAACTCTCCTTCACAGTGTGGAAATGCAAAATAGTATAGTCACTAAGTTGGAGGACAATTTGGTTGTTCTTACAAAATTAAACACATTCTTACCATATGATCCAGCAACTGCACCTCTTGGTATTTACCCAAAGGAGGTGAAAATAAATGCTAGCATAAAAACCTGTAAACAGGGATTTATAGCAGCTTTATTCAAAATAGCTAAAATTTGGAAGCAACCAAGATGCCCTTGAGTAAGTGAATGGATAAACTATGGTATACATAATGGAACATAATTCAGCACTAAAAAGAAATGGGCTATCTTGTCCTCAAAAGGAGGAACCTTAAATGCATATTACTAAGTAAAAGAAGGCAGTCTGAAAAGGCTACTTACTATATAACTGCAACTATGTAACATTCTGCAAAATGATGGAGATGGTTTGCAAGGTTAGGGATGATAAACAATAAACAGGAAGAGCAGGGATGGCTTTTAGAACAAAGAAAGTGTCCTGTGGGGTACTGTAAGGCTGGATACATGTCATTAAACTTTACTCAAACCCATAGCATGTAAAACCATAAGAGTAAACCCTAATGCAAACTATGGCCTTTGGACAACTATGATGTCTCAGTGTAGGTTCCTCATTTTAACAAATGTACTACTATGGTGGACGGAGGTGTTGAAAAGGGCGAAGGCTACATATATATGTGGATCAGGGTATATGAGAAATCTATGTACTTCCTAATCCTGCTGTGAAATTAAAACTGCCTTAACAGAGTATATTTATTTTCAAAAAGAATCTAACCATCTAAAAACGTTTTCAATAACAAAAATTAAACCAATATTAAAAACCACTTCCCCATTTGTAATAGGAACTCTCAATAACAATGAATGCATAAAGAAAATGTGGTCTATGCACGCAATGAAATATTACTCAGCCTTAAAAAGGAAGAAAATCTTGCCATTTGCAAAAACATGCACATACCAGAAAGATATTGTGCTAAGTGAAGAAATAAGCCAAACAGGAACAAAGTATTACATAATCCCATCTGGATGTATGCAATAGTCTGGATGTATGTATTCCCCTCAAATTCCTATGTTGAAATCTAATCACCAAGGTGACAGTACTGTAAGGTGAGGCCTCCAGGGAGTGATGAGGTGAGGGCTCTTCCCCCTTGAATGGGCTGGGAGTGCGTTCATTCTCCATCACTCTTTTGCCTCCACCATGTACAGATACAGGAAGAAGTCTCTCATCAGGCACCAGATGACAGTGCCTTGATCTTGGACTTCCCAGCCTCCAGAACTGTTAAGAACAAATTTCTGTTCTTTATTAATTACCAAGTCTGAAGTATTTTGTTGTTCCAGCACAAATGAAGCTATATTTTCTGTACAGCCTGTGGAACTCCATGTACATAAAAATGTGAAACAGTTAAACTTACAAAAACATAGAGCTGAATCGTGGTTACCAAGGGCTGAGGGGGAAGGGTAACTGGGGAGGTATTGGTCACAGGGTATAAGTTTTAGTTATGCAACGAGTAAGTTCTAAATATCAAATCTACAGACCAATGCATGTAGCTAATACTGAATTCCATACTTAAAAATCTGTTAAGAGGATGGTATGGTTTCGATTTGTTTACTTGTACAAAGCTCATGTCCAATTGTAAGCCTCAAGGCTGGTGGGAGGTGACTGGATCAGGGGGCAGACTTGCCCCTTGCTGTTCTTGTGACAGTAAATTCTCATGAGATCTGGTTGTTAAAAGTGTACAGCACCTCCCCCTTCACCACCCACTTCCTCCTGCTCCAGACACAGAGGACGTGCCTGCTTCCCCTTCATCCTACACCACGACTGTAAGTCTCCTGAGGCCTCCCCAGCCACGCTTCCTGTACAGCCTGTGGAACTGTCAGCCAATTAAACCTCTTTGCTTCCTGTACAGCCTGTGGAACTGTCAGCCAATTAAACCTCTTTGCTTCCTGTACAGCCTGTGGAACTGTCAGCCAGTTAAACCTCTTTGCTTCCTGTACAGCCTGTGGAACTGTCAGCCAATTAAACCGCTTCGCTTTATAAATTACCCAGTCCCAGGTAGTTTTTATAGCAATGGCAGAACGGACTTATACAGAGAATGTATCTTATCTCAAATGGTTGTATCCCAAAAGGGGCGGGGAGGGGGGAGGAAGAAACTCATGGAGGCAAAGGTTGTTTATCGCACTGTTTGTGGTGATGGTTCCATGGGTGAATACTTTACAGGTAAGTATATTTTGCACATGGGAGGAATGTAAATAATTTGTAGCCAGAGGGAAAACTGGTTTACTAAAGACTGCTACAGATTCTCACTACTCCTCTTATTGAAAGGTAGAAGCTAATTACTCTCTAATCTAATACCGTATGTAAAGGAAGAGAGAAGGATGTAACTTTTATTTTGGATTTGTTAAGCCTGAGGTGCCTTTCAGATAGCTACAAAGAATCATTCAATGGAGAGTTGAACCTGTGATCTAGAGCAGCGATCCCCAACCTTTTTGGCACCAGGTTTTGTGAAAGACCATTTTTCCATATACCAGGGTGTGACCCCTCACATGGTTTTGGATGAAACGGTTCGTCAGGCATTAGATTCTCATAAGGAGCAGGGAACCTAGATCCCTCACATGCATAGTTCACATTAGGGTTCATGCTCCTATGAGAATTTAATGGTGTCATTCATCTGACAGGAGGCAGAGCACAGGCAGTAATTCTTGCTTGCCTGCCACTCACCTGCTGTGCAGCCCAGTTCCTCACAGGTCACAGACTGGTACCAGTTCATGGCCTGGGGATGGGGATCCCTGGTCTAAAGGCTGGAGAAGTCCAAGCTGGAGAGAAACACAACTGCTACACCAGAGAGCAGAACTGGTAAAAAAAAAAAAAAAAAAAAAAACAAACAAACAACAACAACAAAAGAACTGCACAGTGGGATGGATGGGGAATTGGATCAAACAATTGGACAAGCTATGTAAAGGAGAAGGAGAATAATTCAGGAAAAAAAAGACAAGCAGCATCAGTGAGGTCATGATAGAAACTAACACAGAAGAATTTCCAGGAGAAAAATCATGAACGATAATTTGAAATGCAGGAGTCCCCCCTTATCCACGGGGGATACACTGCAGGTCCCCTAGCAGATCCCTGAAACTGTATAGTACCAAACCTTATATACACTATGGTTTTTCCTATAGATACATACCCTTGACAGTTTAATTTATAAATTAGGCACAGTATGATACTAACAACAATAAAATGGAACAATTATAACAATATACTATACTAAAACTTATAGGAATGTGGTCTCTCAAAATATCTTATTCTACTGTATTCAATATATTCAAAATATCAAAATACTCAAGATATTCAAAATATCTTATTGTCTTTTCTGTCTGCAGTTGACTATGGGTAACTGAAACCACAGAGAGCAAAACTGTGGATAAGGGGGATAACTGTATGGCACAAGATTCAAGTAAGGCAGACTAGAGAATAGCCAATGGATTTGCATATAATTTAGGTTAATGGTGAGCATCAGAATAAATGAATTAAGACTACACTGAATGAAAGCGCAAGTGAGCAGTGGAAATATTTGTCAGAAAATACAACTGTGAACAATCTGCTACAAATTCTCCATGTACAGATGAATTGACAGAAACATATGGGGGGTTAGTTAAGGACCTGTGGTCAACTCAATCCTCCAGATGTTCTAGGTTTTAGCCATGAATCAAGTAGGGCCTTCCAAAAGCTGTCTGAGATCACACTGTTTCAGCAACTCCAGAAAAACCTCATTACGGGAGTTGTGCTTTAGCACTAAGTGACTATTTCTACTGCAAAATGCTAATAGTGTTTATTTCCAGGTTGGTAGTAAAAAAACTTTTCACTACATCATCTCTGTGACCAATGCAGTCAATGTTCCAGACTTTAGTGACAGCAAGTCTTCCCGTCCCACGAGAATGTAGCGCGTACTTTCCAGGTTCCATTCCAATCACGTAACAAATGTGACTGCCTTGTTGTTGCAGCATCAGAAAGACCAGAGACATACCTGTACTCACGTTCCATGGCTTACAACCTGCATATGTCTACAAGCCAGCATTCTTTTATTTATGTGCATTTCCTTTAACCTGAATTTTACTTATTTCTATTTTTTTCATTTTAATCCATGGACTCCATAAAGGTAAAAAATGCAATGTAAAACAAAGTGAGGAATATATAAACAAATAACTCACCAGAGATTTATTCACTGTTTGTTGATTGTGGAAACGCACAGAGCACTCTGGAAGCATAGCTGGGAGAACAGTCGAATGGAGTGGGTTAAGGAGAGAACTGGTGTGGCTTGGTCCTAGATTCTCCTGCCCAAAATGCTCTACACAATAGCTGGAAAAGACTAAAACAACAACAAAACCTCCCTGTGACAGAACAGTCATTCATGCCTCAATAAGGGACAACAAATATCCCACTGAAGATGTACCCACAATTACATTAACTAGTAGAGATACATACAATTTATTTTTGGATTAATGAAAACATGTATTACCTACTGATTTAGGAACAATTAATTTGCCCAAAGAAACAATGTAATAATTTAAACCAAAGAAATATACACTTAGTCTTCAATGAAATTAATATTGTAGAAATATAATTCAGCCACATTAACTATTTCACTACTAATATGGAGATTCTACACGATTCCATATAGGTGCTTCCACTAGAACACATCTTGCTTTTATACCTTTGCATCATTGAAAGAATGCATCTTTTATATACCTACGCATCATTGAAAGGATGCATCTTTTATATACCTATGCATCATTGAAAGGATGCTTCTTGCAACCCAACATTTTTTGCCTACAATTATATAGGGGGGAAAATGTACATATTGTATATTTCTTGGGATATACTGTTTTAGTAATGTTTCCTAATGACATGTGTCCCTGTATCTCAGACCTCATAGAGTATGCTCTGATAACGAACAGGGCTCTGCCATTTGACTTGCTTTTGCCAATGGGACATGGAAAATATGATGAAAATATAGGCTGGAAAAGTACTTGCCCACTGGTGCTTGCCTTCTCGGACAAGGGTCAGCATGAACCATCAGACATGTGAGTGAAGGCACCAGATGACTAAAGCCTCATCTGTGATCCAGACAACATTAGCAAAGGAAATGCCCAGGTGAACACACGCCAAAATGTGAATCAACAGAACTTCTATCAAATAAAACGGTCACTTCTTTTTAAGCCAGTGAGTTTCATTGGTTCTTCAGACAGAAAATAGTAACTGATACACCTAAGCCACCAGAACTCAATGTTTTTAAGAAAATCATGTGAAGGAGATAATGTGAAATTACTTGTCAAGTACAATCACTAGAACATCACAACCTCATGTCGAAGTTTTGCAAATCACAATGCCAACTTGATGGATATCAGTGAGACTGCTGGTGCTAAGAGACCATGTGAATCATAAAAAGCAACTCTTTGCATATTAGTAAATTGTGTTTTAAGGTTCTTCACATCATAAAAATGTCTGTTGACTTTAAAAAAACATAATACACAAAAAGGATCTCTTATAAGTAAGCATTGTACTGTATTTTACTTACATTTTAAGACACTGGTTTGGAATAGAAGTGAGACATGGTCTAATCTTCCCTCTTTAAATATGTAAAATATGCTATTATTTTCCTACAGAATTTATGATTTCCAAGAACAGATTACTGACACTAAGTGGGAAACACTTGTGTTATTTGCCCTTGAGGTCACATAATTCACAGGAAGAGTTGGGGATAACAAGGAACAGAGATGGTTAACGTAATGTTTCTGCTTGGTTGGTTGGTTGGTCGGTTTTGAGACAGAGTCTCATTCTGTCACCCAGGCTGGAGTGCAGTGGCACAACCACAGCTCACTGTAGCTTCGCCCTCCTGGGCTCAAGTGATCTTCCCACCTCAGCCCCCCAAGTAGTTGGGGCCACAAGTGCATGCCACCACAACCAGCTAATTTTTTTTCTTCTTGTAAACACATAGGGTCTCCCTATATGGCCAAGGCTAGTCTCAAACTCCTGTGCACAAGCGATCCTCCTGTCTTGGCCTCCCAAAGTGTTATGATTACAGCTGTGAGACACTATGCCCGGCAAGGGAAAGTACTTTATTATTATTTTTTCCAGTGGTAGGGGTGGGCAGGCACGGAGGGGCTGAGAAAGTACTTTAAAGCAATGTTTGTTCTTAGTTGACTTCAGTGTCAACAGAAATCTAAAAAAGAAAAAGAAAAAAAAAAACTTTTGACTTAATTGGAGCAAAATGAATAACACTAGCCAAAAAGTCAGGAAGCATAACATCTGCATATCATGTGGCCCCAGCAAGTCACAGCTCCTCAAAGCCAAATTTTTTTCATCTTTCTCATAAGGTGGAAATGGTTTGGCAAAGCCTTACCGAACTGCCAGGAAGAGCTACCAGGATAGCGGGAGCTTCGGCATATCACTGGACGCTAAATTTCGTGACAGACTTTTTTTTTTTTTTTTTTTTTGAGAGACAGACTCTCGCTCTGTTGCCCACGCTAGAGCAGGGTGGCACAACCTCAGCTCATTGGAACCTCCACCTCCCGGGTTCAAGTGATTCTCTTGCCTCAGTTTCCCAAGTAGCTGGGACTATACAGGTGTGCGCCACCACGCCCAGCTAATTTTCGTATTTTTTAGAAGAGACACGGTTTCACAAAATGTTGGCCAGGCTGGTGTCGAACTCCTGACTTCAGGTGATCCTCCCGCCTTGACCTAGACTACTTTTAAGAAAGTTCAGCCACTGGAAACAATGAGAAAAGATTGAACGAATTAAAGTGTGTTTACAGAGTACTCCACACAAATCCTCTCAGGTATAACAGGTTATTTTTCCACTCAGGACAACACTATTAAGTCCCCTCCAGTAAGTAACATCTCTTTGGCCCTTGCCTGTCACCCGCAGCCAAACTCCCCTCTTCCTTCTCAATGTTGGTCCAAACCTTCCGCTACCACCCAGCATTTGAGAGCTACTGGATAAGGTATTATCAACCAAATCTGGACCACTCCGGGGAGTGGGAAAATAACTGCTTGGGTCATACAAACTGGAATCTTCGCCTGTGACACTTCCCCTGCTTTGAAGCACCAGTGAGAGGGTTAGTCCAGAGAGGTGTTCTTTTAGGTGGGATTCCTAAAAGGCGCCCTCCTCCAAACTTTATTATAAAGAAAACAGGACCATCATCTGGCACCCCCAACTTCCCTAGAAACCAGATCTTGTATAAACTCCTATAAACTAAAGCGGGGATGGGATGCGTAGGAAGGGGACACAAGCAGAATCTTCACTTGCTGAAAAGACACCGGGAAACCCCACTAATACCCTCGCCAGGTAGTAGGACGGTGTGCACGCGCTTCGTACTCCTCATCTGGGAATGAGGGGCATCTTCCTAGAACTGTCCGTATGCTGACCTTACAAGGGGGTGCATGGAATGCCGCACAAGGTCCATGCGGTGCCGGAGCGCAGCCTCCCCGCAGACCTCCCAGGTAGGGGCGGCCTGCAGATCCCGTCCCCGCGCCACCGGCTTCGCCCACCCGCTCCGGCGCCTCTGGAACTGGCTTCAGTGCGGAGATCCCACGCCCGCCCTCCCAGCAGCGCCGCCCTTTTAGCCCCAGCTCTAGTCCGCCGCCCGCACCTGCGCGTCAGGCCCCGCCCTCCCCCGAGATGTGCCCACGCCTCTGCTCCCACCAACTGGGGCACGTCGGCCCCGCCTCCCTATGGTGCCTCCAAGCCCGCTGTGTCCTGTTTCATCCTACCACCAACCTGCAGGGATGAACACCCCAACCCCAGAGCTTCCAGAGCAGCCTCTGGACGGCAGCAGGAGCCGGGTTTCTCTGGCGGAAGATGGTGGCATAGGCGGGGCGGCGCATGCGCAAAGGCCATCCGGAAGAGCCCTTCCCACCGTCCAGTGCTGGTGACGTCATTGGAAGCCGCGACGGCATTTCCCACGAGCCACTGCGGTACCGAGGCGGGAAATTCTGTTCCAAGCCGGAGCCGAGGACGCATCCGGGTTGGCGTCTCCCCGCCTGACAGACATGGAATCTGGTTAATAAATCCTGGTTTGACAACCAGGCACATTGTGGGAATATTGGGAAAATTCGAATGCGGCCAACTGGTCAATTATATTAGCAAGTAATCTTACTTCTTTTTTACTTTTAAGTGTTGCTGTTACAGAAAAACCTTTTTTTTTTTTTAACGGATTCTCCCTCCGTCTCCCAGGCTGGAGGGCAGTGGCGGGATCTCAGCTCACTGCAGCCTCCACCTCCTGGGTTCACGCGATCCTCCTGCCTCAGCCTCCAGAGGAACTGGGACTACAGGCGCGCGCCACCACGCCCGGCTAATTTTTGTGTTTTTAATGGAGATGGGGTCTCCCCATGTTGCCCAGGCTGGTCTCGAATTCGTGGCCTCAAGTGATCTGCCCACCTTGGCCTTCAAAAGTGCTGGTGTTGCAGGAAATAGAGGACTAGAGAGACTAGGCAGACCAATATGGAGAACAGGAGGATTGTTTATTTGAGGGTATGCACCGGATTCGTGGATTCATATCTAAAAAGCTGAGCATTGAACAAAGACGGAGCGGGGCTTTTATAAGCAAACTCACAGAAGCAAAACAAAAGCTGTTAATCATACAGTGACTGGTCACGTAATCTATAGGGAACTGTTGACTTGGCATAACTTGTGGCCTTGTGTAGCCGGTGGCCTTGTAGCTGCCTCGAAAAAAAATAAGAACCGGCTAAATACAGACATTTGTAAATACATCATCATGCTTAAGAAGCCAGGGAAAGCAGTAACAGTAAAGGAATTTGTCTTTCTGTCTTTTGTTTTCTTTTAACTTTGCTCTGGAAGTGGGGGTTGTCTGGAGCCTATTCCTTTGGCCTTGGCTTCTCAAACAGTGTTAGCTTATAACTGTCTTTGAAGTGAGCTTACTAGACAGAGGAAAACTTGTTCTTTTCTTTTTAACCTTTGCCTTGCCTGTGACCTTTCTTGGAGTGAATGAATGCATATTTATTTTTAAATTCGTGCCTCAGTTTCCTCCTTTTGGTGCCTTTTATAAAAGAAGTTTAATAGAAGGCATCACTATTACTTAGTTCTGCCTGAAGAGACAAGTTTTCTTCTTTAGGCACAGGCTGATATTTACACAGATCCATTAGCTGAGTGGTAGTTTGCTTAGCTACTGTTGCCTCTATAGTTGACTGAATGCTTCTAACAAGGAGGGGTAAGAGGCAAGGGAGTATTGGGCAAACTCTTAGTATGTCCAGGAGTATTCTTATTAAATCCACTGAAGAAGGAAAACCAGCCTCCAAAGAGGGAATCTGGAGACTGCCTTTTCCAAGTTTGGACTGGAACATGAGATAATTTTCTCATTCTTGCAGTTATTTCTATAACTGCCTTTCCATTGTCATCGGTTTCCAGGAAGCAATTTGTTAGACTGAACTTTCCACATACTCCTCCTTCCTGGCCTAGGAGGTAGTCTAAAGCTAATCTGTTCTGATAAATAGCATTCTTCATTTTTGTGGCTTGCTGGGCCAGTAAATTGAATGCATTTGCTGTTTCATTAGTGATCATTTCAAGTACTGCCTGCAACCTTATGATGCAGCTAAGCATGTAAATAGGAGCGCGGTATCCTCATGACCTATCTTGTGCCTACGCAGCTGGCCTATAGTATTGAATTATTCTTTCAGAGAGCCAATCTGTGTCTTTCTAATCTCCTATTTCTGTATCTCTTTTTATGTCTGCATCTCTTTTGCTTCTTCTAACTTCATCATAGATGGGATACTTTAAAGTTTCTCCCTGTTGCAGTGGGAGTAGGAAAAAACATGGTCTAATTGTTTCAAACACACAGGACTTTGTCCATTTAGCTGACAACTGTCAATAAGCCTGTGGCTTACAGATCCAATAAAGACCAGGGGGTGCTTGCCAAGCATTTGGAGCTTCAAGCTGATATCAGGTGTGGTTTACAGGAGAGAAACAGGAGAATGGATTTGGATGAGGTGCTTTCGAGTCATCTCTGCCTCGCCACAAAGTTTTCTTTAGTGTTTCAATATAATATTGCTGTCCTAAGCAGGTTAGTTCTCCTACTGCATCAGCAAGCAACACAGTATCTCTTGATAATAGAAGTTTTTAAGAGCCAGACACTTGAACTTGTGGGCATCAGTTCTGGGGAAGAGTCAATGAGAGTTAAATTATCTTGTGGCATTAACTCTTTTGCTTCCTGAGGCCATTGGTCTCCTATGTTAGTCTTTCTACAAACATAACATGAAATGCCTGGGCTGCCAGCAGTGTGTTCAGCCAGCTGAGCAAACAGGTTTTCAGCTAAAGGAGTAGGCTCTGGTAACTTCTGGTCTTCTTGCTCATAGAATGATTTAAGAGTTGGAACTTGCATTTCGGTAAGCATAATTGACCTTTGTTGTGTGCCAGGGTGCTACGATATGCAATGCCAACAATCTTTTTCTGGGGTCCTAGGGGAACAAGGTGGAGTTACTCTTGGCATGCATACATATTTGTTGTCATTTCTACAGTATCTTTCTAAAGGTAAGTTACCACAGACAGGGGAGTCGTGGTCTGCTGCCTGACAAGCATCAAAATACAGAGAAATAGGCCCTTGGTAAAAGGGAGGGACCTTGGTTTGGTTTAAGAGGAGACCTTCCTTTGACCTCTTACGATGAGTCTCTTGGCAATATTTCTTCAGTAACTGCTTGAGTGTCTGGTTCATGCGTTCTACTTTTCTGGAACTTTGCGGCCGATAGGCTTCTTGTTATGTTTCATGTTACGTTTGTAGAAAGACTAACACAGGAGACCAATGGCCTTAGGAAGCAACTTCTATTTTATTTTTAACAGTCTTGTTACGTCTTGCACTATTTCA